CCTGTGGCTCAGGAGGCTGTGCAGTTGGGAGGTTGGTGGTTCAGTTCCCATTTGCTCCAGTCTGTGCGCAAAGCTATCACTGTGCAAGATAGTGAAGCCTGAGTTGCTCTCTGATGTGTTCATTGAAGTGCTAATGTTGGATAGAAAGCACCTCAGGCACAGAAAAAAAGTGCTTGTATGAATGGGTGAGTGAGGCTCGTAAAGTGCTTGAGTTGAAAAGCACTAAATAAGATCCAGTCGATTTACCAGCGTGCCACGCTCTGAACTGGAGATTGTTATTCCTGGCTCTACTTAATTATGTTTGGATTTGTGTATCTGTGTTCATTGGATTTACCAAAACCTCCCTGAAACGTCTGCAGGTTGTTCAGAAAGCTGCAGCTGATTGAGACTTCTAACTACTCCCATATCACACTGTTGCTAAAACAGTTGCACTGCCACCCAGCTAACTTCAAAGTCCATTTTAAGATTCTGGTTTTTGCTTTTAGAGCCGTGCATGGACAAGCACCTGTGGACATCAGTGAACTTTTGCATCTAGACATCAGCTAGCTGTGCAGCACACCAGGCTGAGAGGGGAAGCAGACGGAGCTTTTGCAGCAGTGGATCCAGACTCAGCAGCTCTCTCCCTCTCAGCTACTCAGTGGTCTCTTTCAAAAAATTCAGCTTCTTATCTTTATTTTTTTAGCACCTCGGTTGTGAAGCACTATAATTTTTTACTTTATTTTCTTTACTTTATTTAGTATTTATCGAACAGTTTGAATAATGGAATAAGCTGATAGTTCGCAGTGCTGAACTGTATCACACGTCTTCAACCAAAGCGAAAAATCCCCAAAGTTTTCATATCGTTCAGACATCATCAGTAAGTAAAGAATTTATTTAGATGTGTCGGCACACATTCGTTTGAAATTTCCCTGGAAGAAGCCCACACAGGCGCAGGGAGGACATGCTAACTCCACACAGGTTTTAACCAGGAGCCTTCTCCCTGTGAGGGGACACTGCTAAGCAAGACATTAAGAACAACTGCTGCTGTGCGAGCTGTGTAAATGCAGGCTGGCTCTGAGGAAGCTTGAGGGTTTTATGAAAGTCAAACAGCTGGAAGCCACAAACACAACTTCAGCTCACGTCACATCAAACCTGGATGAAGTGCATCAGGTTCAGTTCAATTTTACTTATACAGCAACAAATCACAACAACGGTCGCCTCAAGGCTCTTTACAGTGGGGCAAAAAAGTATTTAGTCAGCCACCGATTGTGCAAGTTCCCCCACCTAAAATGATGACAGAGGTCAGTAATTTGCACCAGAGGAAATGACATTAATGTGAAAAAAAAATCCATGAATCCACATGGTAGGATTTGTAAAGAATTTATTGTAAATCAGGGTGGAAAATAAGTATTTGGTCAATAACAAAAATACAACTCAATACTTTGTAACATAACCTTTGTTGGCAATAACAGAGGTCAAACGTTTACTATAGGTCTTTACCAGGTTTGCACACACAGTAGCTGGTATTTTGGCCCATTCCTCCATGCAGATCTTCTCGAGAGCAGTGATGTTTTGGGGCTGTCGCCGAGCAACACGGACTTTCAACTCCCGCCACAGATTTTCTATGGGGTTGAGGTCTGGAGACTGGCTAGGCCACTCCAGGACTTTCAAATGCTTCTTACGGAGCCACTCCTTTGTTGCCCGGGCGAGTGTGTTTTGGATCATTGTCATGTTGGAAGACCCAGCCTCGTTTCATCTTCAAAGTTCTCACTGATGGAAGGAGGTTTTGGCTCAAAATCTCACGATACATGGCCCCATTCATTCTGTCCTTAACACGGATCAGTCGTCCTGTCCCCTTGGCAGAAAAACAGCCCCATAGCATGATGTTTCCACCCCCATGCTTCACAGTAGGTATGGTGTTCTTGGGATGTTTTGTTTGTTCATTTTGTCTTGAGTTTGTTTTTGTCTGGTGTGTTCTAGTTGGTTGTTCTTGATGTCCCCCTGTTCATTATGTCTTGATCAACTCAATCTCTCCAAACACGACGAGTTGAGTTTATACCAAAAAGTTCTACTTTGGTTTCATCTGACCACATGACATTCTCCCAATCCTCTGCTGTATCATCCATGTGCTCTCTGGCAAACTTCAGACGGGCCTGGACATGCACTGGCTTCAGCAGCGGAACACGTCTGGCACTGCGGGATTTGATTCCCTGCCGTTGTAGTGTGTTACTGATGGTGACCTTTGTTACTTTGGTCCCAGCTCTCTGCAGGTCATTCACCAGGTCCCCCCGTGTGGTTCTGGGATCTTTGCTCACCGTTCTCATGATCATTTTGACCCCACGGGATGAGATCTTGCGTGGAGCCCCAGATCGAGGGAGATTATCAGTGGTCTTGTATGTCTTCCATTTTCTGATGATTGCTCCCACAGTTGATTTTTTCACACCAAGCTGCTTGCCTATTGTAGATTCACTCTTCCCAGTCTGGTGCAGGTCTACAATACTTTTCCTGGTGTCCTTCGAAAGCTCTTTGGTCTTGGCCATGGCGGAGTTTGGAGTCTGACTGTTTGAGGCTGTGGACAGGTGTCTTTTATACAGATGATGAGTTCAAACAGGTGCCATTCATACAGGTAACGAGTGGGGGACAGAAAAGCTTCTTACAGAAGACGTTACAGGTCTGTGAGAGCCAGAGATTTTCCTTGTTTGAGGTGACCAAATACTTATTTTCCACCCTAATTTACGAATAAATTCTTTACAAATCCTACCATGTGAATTCATGGATTTCTTTTTCACATTCTGTCTCTCACAGTTGAAGTGTACCTCTGGTGCAAATTACTGACCTCTGTCATCATTTTAGGTGGGGGAACTTGCACAATCGGTGGCTGACTAAATACTTTTTTGCCCCACTGTATATTGTAAAGTAGACCCTTCAATAATACAGAGAAAAACCCAACAATCATATGACCCCCTATGAACAAGCACTTTGGCGACAGCGGGAAGGAAAAACTCCCTTTTAACAGGAAGAAACCTCCAGCAGAACCAGGCTCAGGGAGGGGCGGGGCCATCTGCTGTGATTGGTTGGGGTGAATCAGAGATTCAATCATGATTAGCCTCACAGGTCTGTCTGCCTCCGCTGAAATGTGAAACAAGCTTAACCTCCTAAGACCCGAACTCTTCCACGGCATGCATTTTTAATTTCTCTTTGATATTTGGGCTGATTGGGGCCCAATGAATGTAAAACATTCAAAATTACCAGATTTTTTTTCCCCTTATTTTTGTTTTTAAGAAAAATAAGAGCTACATGAGGATATTCATTTAAAAATTTGATAGAACAGTAGCAGTATAATGTCCTTGTAAGTGGATATCAGGCCCTTGTAGAGCAAAATTGGGTATTTTGGTCTAAATAACCCAAAATGTGATGTCCACATATGTGGGCGCCAGGTCCTAGGAGGTTAATGTTAAAGCTAAAAAAGAAGCTTAATGACTGTTTTGTCCACAAAAGGCCGGGCTAATGCCACACGCTGGATGCGTGAGAGCTGGAAACATTAACAGTCCACTCCTCTCACACTGACAGCAGAACAGTGCTTTGTTTTATTTTATGTAGTCTTTATATTTTTAGCAGCCTTTAATACTATTTCCTGTAAGCTGTTGACATTCACGACGGCCGTCTACCACGCCACTTCATTTCTACTGTTTTCTGTCTTCTTCTGTTTAGACTTTTCATTTCTGTGCCCACGGTGTAATCATGTAAGCCTTCAGTGTGGCTTTAGCTTTAAATATACTGTTTTATTTCTATCTGTGCATTATTCTCTTCCACCAGACGTGAGACCTCTTGAAAACTAATGATTTATCATTGGAGTCTGTTTACACAGAATAACCCTGCGACTGAGCATCTTTGATCTTACACATATGATGCTGTTACAACCAGCCAAAGAGCTGCTTTGAAGAACTGAAAAATCAATAATTTAATGCATATAAAATCTTAATCTACATACAGAGAAGAGGCCTGTGAAGACCTTTGTTTCTGAAACGTACATATAAATACAGACACACTAATTTATACTCAGAAGATGTGTTTTATTTGCAGATCCCTAGAGGCAGCAATATATTTTTCTTAAAAGCAAGAACTGTATTGGTTTGCAAATGACACGTTGCAGCTTTCTGAATATGGATTTCCTCACTGACCGAGTTTCTGCAGTTTTACACCAAATAAATTCCAGTTCTACATGAAGTAAAAGATCAAGAAGACTTTGATTAGAAACCCCCCCAGAAAAAAAGCATCGTTATAGCATTAGAAGAAATACAACTTGGCATGGATCACGACATCTACAGATGACACTGTGATCTGTAGCAAGAGTAGAAGCAAAAGAGCACATGTGTGTGAATGAGACGGAGACGGGTGTAAAGGCGAAGCTGCAAGGAGCAGAGGTAGGGAAGATGGATGAGTTTAAATATCTGGAGTCAACCATCCAAGAGAGAGTGCACAAGAGAGGTGAAGAAGAGAGTCCAGGCAGGGTGGAGTGGGTGGAGATGAATGTCAGGGGTGATTTGTGACAGAAGGATCGCAGCAAGAGTGAAAAGGAAGGTTTACAAGGTTGTAGTGAGACCCGCTCTGAGGTCTGGTTTGGAGATGATGGCACTGATAAAAAGACAGGAGGCCGAGCTGGAGGAGCTAAGATTTCCACTGGGATTAGAAGCGCGTACATCAGAGGGACAGCTCCGGTTCAGCGGTTTGGATACAAAGTTAAAGACACGAGGCTGAGATGGTTTGGACATGCGCAGAGGAGGGTGAGTGGAAATGCTGAAGATGTCAGGCAGGAGGAGGAAAGGACGACCTCTAGGGAGGTTCATGGATGGAGTGAGGGAGGACATGCAGAGAGTCGGAGTAAGAGGGGGGAATCTTAGGGATAGGGTAAGATGGAGGAAGATGATCTAATGTGGTGACCCCTTAAGGAAGCAGAAGAAGATGTGCAAGTAGAACTAGACATGAAAAAAGAAATGCTGAGGAAGGTTTAAGGTTCTTACAGCTGTTGCTGTGGTCATCCACCAGTATGATCTCTTTGAGCAGGTGGGAAGGAGTCCTCTGGATGGCCGTGTGGATGGAGCGCAGCAACACCGACAAGGCCTCGTTGACAAAGATGAAGATGACACTGAGCTGGGGAAGGTCTGATGAGTAGGACATGTTTCTGCATCTGAGGGGAAACGCCAACATTCAGAAGCTTTGTGAGCCAAAATCACATCCTGTTAAATCCTTACAGGAGAACACCGCAGACAGCTGTGAACCGACACTCACCCGTCAGGCCGTAAATCTGGAATCGGGCGGGTGAGGGAGATGCGGTCGCTAAGGTAACCGTTGTAGCCATAGTACTTGAACTTCTTGAGGGCAACCCTTCGGCTTTCCGGGCCAAGGTCGTGACCCCAGTGGTTGAAGAGTGAGGAGGCAGGGTCTGAGGCTGCGTCTGACGAGGATGCCGCATCTTCCCCATCCTTCAGAGGAGTTTCTGTGGACAGAGAGAGGGAGCGGTCGATGACTAGGATTATACAGTTAACCCTTTATCACCCAGGTATCACACAGGCTGCCTGGACTTATTTTGTACCTTGTGAATGCTTTGTGCTTCTGTAATAAACCGAATATGAGCGTAAATCTTCTTTATTTTCAGAAACCATTTGAATTTTTGTCTCTAGCACCAACGGGAACAGAGTTACGCTTTCTCAGGAGAAATGACTATGACCAAGTCTAAGCGCTCCATGTGGTTATGAAACAAAACCTGTTGACCGAGGGCTGAAAGAATCATTTCTGCAGCATCGGGAAAAAGGATGGAACTCAAATGCGATTGAAGAAACAGGGATTTTTATTGTCATTCCAAATAACACCATCAGGCAGCTGCGCAGATCCATTTCTGCAGAAGTGGAAACAAATCCTCTAACGTGCCCCAATGTGACACTATTTGGTTTTCAGATCAGCTCGGATCTCTGCGCCACACATGCACATGGTGGAAAACAGTAACAACCAAAAACATGCTGTAGGCATATTTGGTGGTTTGAAATGATCGATTTAAAAAATATATAGCATGCAAAGAGGCTTTAATGTATTCCGCTTTTCACTGTGCAGGCTGCAGAATTTGGATGCAGCAGTCTGTTGTTTGTCCGAATCACCAAAAGATGGGGATCCTCTGAGAGAATGAAATATTCATGAACTGAGGCCGGCTGGAACTCCTCACTCAGGTGTGAAGGTGTTGAAAACACAGAAAGCAAAAACTTTTTTCAATCCATAAAAATGAACTCAACACCGAGCCACGAGACTCCAGCATGGAAGTCACGATCTTGAATGTGTAATATACACCACAGTGGTTTGAATGCTTGAAGTTAAACTCAAACAAAATAAAAAACAGAAATATGAATTAATTCAATTTTTCAAAAAGATCAAAAAGTATTTGTTTTCTTTTCCCATGACAGCGGTTGACAGTTGCTCAAAGCGCTGTCAACTTTTATAACCTGCTACTCACTTTTTTAAACCCCTTTTCATGGAGCCCACGTACTGTAGCGTTGGGCTGTCACGCTGTAAGACATTTGACATTTGGCAGGACCCACTGTGCTGTGCCAGGTTTGTATTTCACACAAGGTGACAACGTTTAGTACCTCCTGCTCAACAAGGGAAAGTTGGTAAGCTTAAAGTTCTCATCTACAACTTCCAACTGAACACACATCACATCATCACGACTGCAACTCATCACCCAAGAGCTTGTTATGATTGAGGATTCAGGGTGCACCAGTCTGCCGCCGCATTAAAACCTGGTGGTTTTAATTAAATTTGTTTTAAACCAATTTTAAACTAATTAAAACCTGGTGGTTTTAATGCTTTACAAAACTTTACAAAGACACCAAGGCCCTCGCCAAAATCCCCCAATCCTAATCGGTTTTTAGCATCGGCACGTGTATTCTTGGACCTGTGGAAGTGGTTGCCGGCAAATTGACGGGGTCGTCCTTGGTTTGCGTGGAAGACAGTGACTCATCTGCAAACTACTCACGGCAAGAGTGAAAAAGTGTGACACAAACCAGAAACAGAGCATTTAGTAAAAGTAAAAGCTCCTTTTAAATGTTACTTTGAGAGTGAATGTTTTCCACTTTTTTAAGTTTCAAGCAGAAAGTGAATTCAAGTGAAAGTCTGAGCTTTGAGCGTGCTCATTTGAAGCCTGCACATCTTTTATAGATATTGTGTTGTACTGTGTCTTTGCCCCCCAAACTATGTGCGACATTGCCAACTGCACTGGTCTGCATTAAATATTTAATAAGACAATATCCTTTATGTATGGGATAATTTTGTACTGAACTGAAGTCACATATTGGGCAAGTTATCAACACATGACCGAACATGATGCCCAACCAAAGACAAATGTAAAAAAGCCTGAAAAAGAGGAGGGTCACACTCTGCTCCTCATATTTAAAAAAACAAACAAAACTGCATTGATCAAGATCAGGATAGCATGACAGGTTTATTGGGATTACAAGAATACTATGTAGGAGTGATGGGCAATATGTAGTGATTTGTTATTAAGGTGACATTGAAGACGTCGGTGGATGTAAGCTGAATTTTGAAGGATTGCTAACATCACCCCACTCTGCACCCCTACTAAGTTTCATCAGAATTGACTAAAACCTTTCGAGCTCTCACATTTATCACACCAAAAACACAACCTTCTCTGTGGAGGTAAAAAGAAAAGGGAAAAACAAATGTCCAACAAGAAATGGTGATACATTTTCAAACACCTGAAAGGTGATAAATTATTCACTTCTATGTTTGTGAAAAAAGCAGAGGTGCAAAAATTGTCCAAGAACTCATTTGAGCTCTTTAGTCACTTTTTCTTTAGAGGGGATGACTAACAAAACACAAACTCCATCACGTGATCGTGACTGGCTCATGTTCTGATGGAGTTTTTTTTAAATACAGGAGTTTTCTCCAGACGGGTAATTATGGCACATTCCAGTAACATACTCCACAGGTTTAATTTTGGTTTCTGCAGTTTGACTTTAAGATTTTGACTCCAACCAGCCGACTATCTCTACTTCTACTTTCAGCCCTCAGTGGAGGACTGTGAAGTGCCTCCTTCCTGCGGCAAATGGCTTTTTTTTTATTACTTTGAACAGCAGTACTTCCCCCTTTGGTAATAACATACTCAGTGCCCTCGTGGGTGAAATGGCACCTCCCTCCAAGTCCACTCATAGCCTCATAATAAGCACCCTAAAAGCACTACAAATGATTCGGTGTTCCATTTTTCTTGGCCACAAATGCATTCTGAGTCATGCAAAGTTTTTAAGAGTTTTAAGTCACTTCATTTGCAGCCATTTATATTCACTGATGCATTTAGTTAATGCATTGTGCTTTTCAGAACAGACAAAAAAAGTAAAAGCTGGAGAGGGGAAAAGAAAGATGGATGGCAGATTGAACCCGTGTGTGTGTACTCTGTGCTCGGGTTGAGAACAGCTGAGCAGAGGGAGTGTGCTGTGACCTGCACTGCACTGTGTTAGACAAACCTCATTACTAATTCAGTTGGACCAAGCTACCCTTTACAGCACAGCTGGAGGGCACATCATAGCTCTGTACAAGGCGTCAGGGAGAATAAAGTGGGACAATGCTGAGGTTGTGTCCGTGTGCGTATTATACAGTACCAAGTGTAATATTTGTACAAATGATGTAGGTGCAACAGGGACACAGTGCTGACGGCGTGTGACAGTGTAATATTAAAGTCAAATTTAGCGTACAAGTGTGGGAATGTGTGTGTGTGTGTGTGTGTCATTTACTGTAGATTTCCACAGGAAAATCTGAGGACCAAATATGCTGTTTAAACATGACTGATAAACATCAATGGAACACTTTTTAATCAGAGAACAGCATCAAGTCAGGTAAAGTTCTGGGATATTGATCAGTTAAGTAACAGAGGGGGTGTTACTCGGTATCAGCTGCTTTGGTTTTCGTGAAATTAACAACAGGAGCTCTAGAGGGGCAACAATGTCACAACCCCCAAAACAGGAATGGTTTTACTGGTGGAGGCCACTGACATTTTCTCCTCCTCATGTTTACAGAGTCTCACGAGCATGGAGGAGATTCCAGGAGATAGACAGGGCCGTAGAGGGCCCTTAAGCCACCAAAATTATAAACAGAGTCAATGAAGGTGGCAGAGAGCCCAACGCCATCTAGTGGGCCCTGAGCTCATCTGCCATAGAATACCAGAACTAGCAGTTCCACCATTGCCACCCTGTGATTTCCACAAATGAGAGCAGGTTCACCCTGAGCACGTGTGTGGAGAACATTGTGCTGTCTGTAAGTGTGACGGCTTTAGTGATGGATCAGTGATTGCATATCCGCGGAGGGATACACGGGCCTATTCAGGTCTGGCAACGCCACCCTGGCTGCCATTAGGTATCAGGATGAAACCGTTGGACCTGGGCTGGGACGAGAAAAATGCTTTAAAATTCAGCTGAATTTAAAAATACGTCTGCACTGCTGCAGCAAACAGTGCAACTTTGTCCAGTCGTACCCTTGTGGGGTGTAGGAACTTGGCGCCACATCAATATCTGCTCAGCTGTAATTACACACAACACAATGCACAAATCCAGAAAAGAATGAGAGTGAGGTAACACAATTTGAAAAGAAAATCAGCATTTATGGCCTTAAAAAGAAGCTTTGGTGATGCAAAGGAGGAAAATGTCATCTACTAATCTAATAAAATGGAATCTAGAAAGAAACAGACAGGAGGAACAAAAAATAATGATGACAAGAGCACAAAACACAGAGGACAAAGAAGTGCCGACAGGATGCTGAGTGAGGTACGAGAGAGTGATGGAGAGGGCGAGAGGCAGAGAAAGTGATGAGGAGAACAAGGATAAAAGGGATGTGACAGAAGGTATTCATCCCCGGGCATCTGTAAACTAGGAAACCCTGAGCTTTGTCTCTCCAGATTGTGGAGAGACACACTTTTATTAGCTCAGACAGACACCATGACACACACACACACACACACACTTCCTGCAAACCTGAGGGCATCAGAGCTGGACTCCCTACAACCTAATGGATTAGAAATGAGACGCACTGCTGGGTGACAAAGTGGCTCACCTTGTCCTCCAGTCACTTTATGCAAAATTGACATACGATTGGCTCAGCAGGCTGCACGCTGCGACCGGCTCTCCAGCCTCAGCACAACCTCTGCAATCAGAGCTGAGATCAGCCTCAATCAGGACTGAGAGCAGGACTATTTCAGATTAGAATCACTGTAAACAATGTGCGAATGACTACCAAAAATATAGAACCTCTCTTCTATAAACACTTTTATTTGGACAAGGGGTTGCAAATGTTTGATTTTGTATATTTTGGATGTGAAATCTATTGTTATCCACTTTTACTGAAGCTCGAACGAACAACGTGAATATATATATAGCGGCGGTCTCTAAGAAATGTTCCTTTATTTAAAGTAAAGTAACAGAAAAATTACATTAAATTAATCAA